AAAGCTTCGGATGTTAACGATAAGAAGAGAAAACTCTTAACCAAGCCGCCAAGTCTTCCAAAAAGCATTACGGCAGGCCAGTTTCGACCGCATCAAACGTAGAGCTTTTTGGTCTCTCGCTCAAGCAGTTGAGACAAACTTCTGCTGGTTTACATTGCCTTTGCTGGTTTCAGATGGCTCACTGGCGCATGTGGCTTAGAAGGATGAACTTAAATGCTTCTCTTTTTGTTAGCAACAGCGTACGAACTCAATCACCTGACTGCGGTACCTCTATGAATGTTCGCAAAACCTTGCGAAGTCTAGATGTGAATAAACAAGTGGATCTGATGGTAAGCCGGATATAGTTCTAAAGATCTGTGCGCCTGAGTTGTTTCCTTTGTCAACGCGCATATACCGTCTCCCATTCAGGCCTGGAATAGTGTCCAAATCTTGGAAGCTAGCCAATGTGTAACCTGTACCTAAAAAGGGCACCCGTGCCGACGATGCCAATTATCGGCCAATTTCAATTACCTACCTACTCTGCAAGATTATGGAGCGTTAATTAACACAAACTTCATGGCATACCTAGGACAGAATGATCTCTTCAGTGACGCTAGTACGGGTTTCGCCAAAATCGATCAACTACCTTAACCTTCTAGCGTATGCCACTCACATATTGGACGAAACGCACTAGAAAAGTGAACTTTGACATGGTTTGGCACGCTAACCTTTTAAACAAGTTTCGAGCTTACGGCTCATCCCTGGCCTGGTTGACTGGGTGAGGGACTTCCCGAGTCAACGATCTCCCCGTGTTGTCGTCAATGGCTGCTTGTCCAATTCGGGTCCGCTACTGTGGAATCACGCGTACGCTGCGAGTCGACTTTCCTGATGGTGCAAATATCATGTGCTATGCCGACCATGCTATGGGGACCAAGGAGCTTTCCGAGCTTAGGACGGAAGTCATAGTTGCCAAAATCGTCTCATAAGACCTAGACCTTATGACTTCTCAAATTACCCCGGACCAAGGAACCACCCGACTCGTGCGTCTTCGTGGGTGAGTCTAAAGCCAGAGTAGGTAGTGCATGAGTTATCTAGGCCTCCTTCTGGACAGTCCCTGGAGCTTTGGAGAGCACTTTGAGCGCCAAGTCTCACGGATAGAGACTGTCGCGTGTGCTATGCACAGACTGCTGCTCAATCTAGAGGGACCGAGGGAGGAAACGCAACCTTAAACGGTAGAGACCGGCCATATGGGACGCTTGTATGTGCGAAAACGATAGCTATCCGACGCTGTAGAACAAAAATTTACGGTTGGACACCGTAAATTTTTGTAACAACAAAGAATGGCTATACGAATCCTGCGAGGATACCGCACGTTATCCTTTGAGTTGATAACAATCTTGGCTCGTTTCTCACCCCTAGATATACAGGCGGATATGAATGCGAGGATGTGCGACCGAATCTGCATCCTCCGTTAAGGAGGTGTTAGTGAGCCAGGTGGCACTCTTGAGTGGGTAGGCGCTCGAGTCTATAAAACGACAGGACTGACAGAACGCTTTGGTGACTCAACGAGGAGCGCGACGCACGCAAACATGTTATTGACGCAATTCTGCAGGTATTCGAATCCTGGATGCAGTGACAAGTAGGAAGACTCACCTACCACCGTGTCAGTATGCGGAGAGGGGATTTGGCCTGGAGGGCCGTAGCCACCTTCTGTGAGTCCGTAATCGTGCAAAAAATGGCTGCTGAGCGGTATCGGATGAGGTCAGATCCAGCTCGGACGACGACGCCAAAGCACTCTTCTTGAAGATGGTAATCCCCAACCAGAAACAGGGCCTCTGGGCGTTGCAGGAGTTTAGGTCGGGGGCTTTGAATGTCAAGTAATGTAACCCTCGAGGAGGACGATGGCTCGGAAGTGGTCCCGAGACATCGCGATAGCAATGTGAGGGTGCTAGAGCTTTAAGTACTACCCCCGGGACGTGTTTCCAATAAAGCAAAGAGAGAGAGAGGGGCCCCGGTTGCGTTCCGAACGGAGATCCCGGTACCTATCGTATACGCTGATGGAGACTACTGTGGGGTTGTAGCTGGTTAGAGTCCGGTATAACCTTTCGGATTCCTCCTCAGCCAAAGATTTTCACGAGAATTTTTCCTCGAAAAAAAAAAGCACTGAACGCCATCAATTGTTAGGGATTGAGATTTCCACAAAACTCAACTATGGGTTGTTTATCGAGTCCAAGGCGAAAGAATAACGAAACTAGGTATCCTTGCCAGGGTGCGGTATTACGCCGGCGCAACTACTGGCAATAAAAAATACAAGTCCGTTTGTGCGTAGGGTACTGCTGTCACACATGGGCTGGAGCTACAAAATGCCACCAAGCTACATTTGACTCAGTGGAGAGACGTATTAAGAGTCCTATTGGTAACCTTGATTTCGTTGCAACCAATTTTGTTAGCCTCGAGCACAGGCGCAGAGTAGCCAGCCTTTCGGTAATCTATAGGATGCATTTCGGAGAGTATACGCAGGAATGACATACTATAATTCTTCTCTCCCTTTCAACCATCGGACAACCAGATAGTCGTCGAATCTTCATACCTTTGACGTTGATACTCCTCGCATTAGAACCAAAGCGTTTGCTGCAATTTTTGTAGTGCGTACAGCAAAGGAGTGGAAGAATTTGCTGGTGTCTGTACTTCCGTCCAAATACCGTCCGGGTATTTTCAAGGCAAGAGTGAATAGGCTGCTAAGCTTGGCTAGGCTTGCGCTAAGACAATGCCACTTACTATTTAGGGCTTCATCATCACTTACAACTAAGTGGGATTGTTGTCAAGCACTGACTTACAATTAGTTAAAAAATAACGGTGGCAATGCCATAAATGTTAACTTTGAATACTTTTAGTCGTATACTCATACATTATAGAGTATAAATAATCAAATTTGTAATAAGTATGCTTATAACAAATATTTAGCTTAAAAGTCAAACCTAGATTAGGTCATTGAATGTGCTGTATGCCAATCAAGTTGTCCGTTACTTGTCATAACAATCTTTCAGAGTAGTTATTGATGTAATTTAAAACTCAAATTATGAATTATAATATGAGGTGTACAATATTATATATTATGTATAGTGTTGCATTTAAGTGTTACTTAACTTTTTTACATGATGATAGTGCATATTTTAAAGAAAATTAAAAAAAGTCAAATTAAATTAAAGATTATATCTTACTGAAAACTGAGCATATTATTATAATATATAAAGCGCGAGATGAAAAGGAAGTGGAAAAATTAACTCCTACCTAAGTTGTTCTGTCGTTATTACGCTAACATTAATTACTTTAACTTTTTCTTTTTACAGGTCATATGTGTATTTAAAATATAGAGACCGTGACACCACCTTGCTAATTTTGTTTATTATTATGTGTATACCTAGGTGGATTGAAAAGTACTCGGCCTAACACAGATCCATTCAATTCTAAAAATCAAATCTACCCACATTATTTAGTTCAGTTCAGACTAGTTCATTGTGTGAAGTTCGAAACGTGTGCGATAATTAGTTGTGATTTTATAAATTTATTAACAAAGTAATCGGACATAATTTCCGCGAATGGAGCAAATCGAGCAGCGTGCCGTCATTAAGTACCTCCATAAGAAGGGGCTATCATCAAAAGCCATCCATGATGACATGGTCAGTACATTAGGCGATTGTGCTCTGTCATATTCATCCGTCAAAAAATGGATAGCAGAATTTAAGCGTGGTAGAGAGAGTGTGAAAGATGAACCCCGCTCTGGAAGGCCTTCGACGTCAACTACTGACGAAAATATTAAAAAAAGTACTTGATTTAATAATGGGAGACCGCAGATTAAAAATTAGAGAGATAGCCGAGATTATAGGCATCTCTTATGAACGAACTCAAAACATCATTGTCAACGAGTTGGGTTTCCACAAGGTGTCTGCGAGGTGGGTTCCGCGACTGCTTTCAGTTGAACAAAAAAGGACGCGATTGACTATTTCACGCGACTGTTTGGAGTTATTTGAAGCCGATGCAGATGATTTTTTGAATCGTTTTGTTACTATGGACGAAACATGGGTTCATTACTGTACACCGGAAACAAAACAACAATCAAAACAGTGGAGAAGACCTGGTTCACCACCCCTAAAAAGGCAAAGTCGATTTTGTCGGCAAATAAGGTGATGGCTTCAGTATTCTGGGACTCGAAAGGTGTGATTATGATTGATTATCTTGAAAGGGGTCAGACTATAAACTCTGATTACTACTGCACCTTACTACGTCGTTTACGAGAGGAAATAAAAGAAAAACGTCGAGGAATGCTCAGAAGAAAAGTCCTGTTTCATCAAGATAACGCCCGTGTTCACACGTCAGTACAGTCAATGGCTGAAATTCACAACTGTGGTTTTGAACTGTTACCGCATCCGCCGTATTCACCTGATCTGGCACCATCAGACTTCTTTCTGTTCCCTAACCTAAAAAAGCACTTGGGAGGTCAAAGATTTTCGACAAACGACGAGGTCAAAGCAGCTGTAGACGCATATTTTGACTCTAAGGAAGAATCATTTTTTTTTCAACGGTCTAAATGCTTGGAAGGGGAGGTGGCAAGTGTATTCAACGTGATGGTGATTATGTAGAAAAATAAAAATATAACTGATTTAGTATGTGTTTATTTTCTTGGTTAGGCCGAGTACTTTTCAATCCACCCTCGTATCTACCCTACCATTCGAAATATATGTATTTAATGTTTCTAAGTTATAGTCGAAGTAGATTTTATCAGAACAGTAACTTTTAAAAATACTTTTGTACATTAAATATAAGAAAAAAAAAACAAAAATATATTATTATTCTTTAATTTATAATTACTAATCTCGTATATTCCTAATTATATAAAATACATCACAGTTACAAATCGCTTACTTAAACGTACAATAATCCGGTTAACGTTGCACTAGTAAGTACGTGGGTACATTGTGTTGTTCGGTAATATGAGCCTTTGTCGTTTGGCAAGAACTAACCGCGGAAAGGTTGTTGCGCGAATGTTTGTTGGGGTTGCTGGGGCTGGGACTGGATATATTGGAGTGCACGAGCAATAGCTTCTGGGATCGGGTGAGGAGTAGGCAAATGAGCACCCTCTGCACGGAAACCTGTAAATGTAAATTTTATTTGAATTATGATGATATATACTGTTATAAAATTAACCTAATTATATTCGTTAATCATTAAAAAAACTCAAAATAAATAATGATATTATGATACAAACAATCTTAAACTCCATTTTTAATGTCATGTTATATTCAGTTATTTTAACTCGTTTATATTCTGTTCATGAGTCATACTTTATTTCAAATTTAACTTATTTATGTATGCTAAAAGCCAACAATTTACAGGACTGCTAGGAATCTTACCGTTCTCATCAGCGATGTAAGTGAGAGTAATGGGGATGCCTTCGGGCGATGTGTAGCTATATGAACCCTGGGCGACCTGAGCCTCTGCATCCTTTACACCAGCGTTCTTCAGGTAACCTTGTTCTTGGGCTGAGATGCCATTTCCAGTCTCATAGCTGCAATATTACCGTATAATATAATTAAAAAAAATTATCCTATCTCTCAAGTTGAGCTTAACTGCACACGTTGTATAAATTTGATTAAAATTGGTTAAGTAGTTTAGCGGACATCGCGGACAAACAACGTGACACGTAATTTATATATATTAAGATAAATATAATATTGGTAAAAAAAGTTTACTAAAATTTAAGTTAATATTTGAAAGATGCACAAGCTTAGTCCTTAAATTTTGACAAGTATTTTTGTAAGTACTGATAAAGGTAAAGGTTATCAAATTACAAGTTTTTTTGTAACAGTTGAATCTCTTTATTAAATCCATAAAATTTAATTTATACCGATTTAATGCACTATCTGTCTCAGCATAAATCACATCAATATTTGTAATAAACAAGATGGTCGCTTAGCAAGAGGTGTGTACATCACGCAATAAAACAAGTAAAGATCGAATCTAATAAGCGGTTTCGTCAAAGCGTTTAACCCGTTCGTTCTCATACGATTTACATGCATTGTCTACCGTTGTTCTTGGGAACAATTTGTCTATGCACAAATTCTAGCGTAACTGGTCTAGTAAAAGTTTCGTCATTGTTATCCTAATAAAATTTTATGGTTATTTATATATTTGCGGTTGATCTTTGATCAATATAACAATTTTTAAAGATCATATTATAAAGGAGATGTGGGCCTTTATAAGAGCTTTGTAAGAGCTGAAATCGTTAATCGCCGTTCTAAGCTAATTTACCACCTATTTGGTGATAATAAACATCGTAAAAAAACCTTTGTCTTAGAAATTAAAAAAAATCTAAAATTCAAGGATATGTGGAATAGGCCAATACGCACTAAATCGGTATGAAAATAAACTGGAAACTTTTTGCAGTGTAACGCATGTGATAACACTGTTAATTGTTTGATTTTATTTGATGATTACCTGAAAAGAAAGTTACTTTCCAGTCTCAAGCAATTTGTTTTGTAACTTAATGGTTTCTAATTCTTCGACATGTTGTTGAATAATCGTCTAAAAGAATTACCTAAGATATCCATAAGTATGACAGTGCAGACGCAGCGGCATATAAAATATGACATTTATATTTACAGTAGGATGATGAGTACAATGTTTATTTTGTAAAATTTTTAGCCAACTTAAAAAAAGGGAGAGGTTTACAACTCGGCTGTATACTTTTTGTGTATGTATGTTACGCGACGTTCGCGATTTTCGTCTATTTTATTACCGATTTTGACGATTCCTTTTAATTAAATAAGATCCAATGTGGGATGGTCTTATACATAAATTTGGAGAAAAAATTGTATCCCTAAGGATGTATCGACAATAGGAGATGAAGAATGTAACTATTTAGAGGACATTGAGACTATGTTATTCCTTAGTACGCTCAAAAAGGTAAAATTAAAAAGTCGCATTCTGGAGACAATATTTTGAAAAAAAAAACATAAAACCTCGGCTTCAGAATTTGAAATAATTTGGTTTTGAAGACATTGTATCTGCTCATAATTATGAAAATGACTATTTTCAATATTTTAAAATAGCTTACAGAAAATTTTATAGTTTTTTAAGATTAGATAAACTTAAAAATGGAGGAATGCTAGTATAAACATATGTATACATTTTTTATATGATTATTTCTGAAAATGCTTATTCTAACGTTTTTAGCGCAATGGTTCTGATGTAGTAACTGGTCAGGCGCTACTGGCAAATTATGAATTTTACTGATGAGTTGAATTTTAAACATTCAAATATTTAAAAAAAAACTTCCTTTCCTCCTCCTATCCTTTATTCAACAAACAATATCTTAAAGTGTCATAACGTGAAGTAATTGTATATTGTGTGTTGGCTGGTAGTACTTTTGCTTAGGATTCTCGCATATTAATGCTTTTAATTTTCTTAGCATGGGAACGGCCATTTATGAAGCTATTCATGCTTGAGTATGTATTTCACAATGTTCAATATTTACTAGCCGTATTTTAAAAGAAGATTTTGTAAGCCTATTAATAGTGTCGGTGATTAAAAGGTTAGTGTCGATTTATTAACATTGAAATTTATGATACATACAATTATGAAATGTTGCTCTACATTTTATATATTTTGAAAATACATATTAAATTTTGTAATTATTGTAGAAAATGGGCTATTATATGTTTAGATATGTTAATTAATTTAAAATATTTTTCAGAAAAAAATCGTTTTATCAGTAATGTTCACGTAAAAAAGCACACCAAAATATTGATCGTTCTTTCTACTATTTATGAAGATAGCTAAGAATAACAACCAATTTACTACGAGCTAAGTAAAGGCTGCATTTGTTTTTGATATGCGTATTTCTCTTAATTTAATCTTAAAATTAATTTTAGTGAAAAATATCCTCGTGGAAGTTATTATTTGATATTGATTAACTCAGTGAACAAGAGAATGTAGAAAAAGTAATTACCTGTACTGGTAGGAGCCGTCAAAATTTACTTCTTGAGTCTGTCTGAGGATAGGAATCTGTTGACCTGGATACTGTTGCTGCGGTTGGTACTGGAACTGAGGTGCAGCACCAACCATAGCTATTAGAGCAGATAAAGCGACGAACTGAAATCAAAAGTTTTAAATGAAATATTGGTTTAAGCGTGCCTAATACAAGTATTGTTCACAATACAAGTTTTTACTATTGAATAGTATATTATCAAATATTTATATTACATGCTATCATCAATAATACTTAAGCACAAAATAGTGCTCTATATAAACGTATATTTGATTTTTACAAGGTTACATCCTAATAAAGTTCTCTGATGATAATATGCCTCCCCGTATAAATTGCCTCATAGGGGAGATATTGGCAATACTTGCCACGTTTGGCAAGCGGGTCATTATTAGGACGAGCGTAGCCTCCTACGACACCCACGCGATGATATTTCTTTATATAATAGATTTGATTTAAGTAAATAAATTCATGATTATTAAGTCGAGTTGCAAAGTTATATTATAACCACAAACATACAAAGGTTTGTTAAAACAAAATTTAATTTTAGGTTAATTTCATAAACACTTTATAACCTTATATACACCCTATATACACATATAACCCTATATACACTTTGTAACCATATAAAGTGTTTATGAAATTAACCTGACTTGCTTTGCATTTGGTCCATAAATCATACAATTCTAATTTTGTTAGAATATATTTGAATTTATGTGCCCACGTATCAAGCACTACAGTATTAACAATAATAATACAAAGAAAAAAAAACACTCATTAAAATGTAAAAGCTAACTTCAAAATAATAAATTGAAATAAAATAATTTCCACGCAACAGCTTTAGAAGTCGGTGCTGAGACATAGTGAATAGAAGAATGAAAGTCCCGACTTCAGAAGCTGTTAGGTTGAAATTTACTTATTTATTTAGTCATTTTTATTTAGTTCTTTGAAGTTGATTTTTACTTTTACATTTTTATTTTCATAAAGATTAATAATTAAAAAAATCATCGTTGGTAGTTGAATTTTATCTTTATAGTTAAATGGAATGATACTCAAGTTATTTATTTCGCAAAATATTATTCATGTTCAGCAGTTTCCAAAGATCGGTGAATATAAATAAAAAAACATACGCACTGAACATAGAACCTTCTCCTTATTTGAAGTCGGTTAAAAATAACTTCCACCTGTAAATCTAGATTTGTTTAACATTTTATTGAAGCATTTCCGTTCACTGATTTCTAGCAAATGGACGAAATTTATTCCGAAAATAAATAATGAAAACTTTTAATTTTGATTTTCAACACAAAGTTCCATCGTATATACGAAAATGGGTAAAACAGTAACGAGGTGTGTTACGAGAAATAAAATGTTGCTGACGAATAAAAATGTGTGGGAATGCATTACAAAACACATTTCAGTAGAGTGAGTTAATAATAAAAATGCTTTATTATAATTTAGAAGCATTGTACTCTAGATAGATAGGTCGTGATAGATTCACAAATTTGATATTTTTTATTCGATATAATGTTACGAGCTTAAAAAAATATAGTAAAATAAAAACAATAAAGTACAATAATTCCATAATAGGTATATACAAACTAAGTACGAAGTAAAATTTCTTATGAACGAGTAAACTCACCGACTTCATTTTTATTTATATTTATGAATTAAATAAAAAAATATTTTATAATGATTGATGATCCTCGTTGGATGTTTGTGGCGGGAATGATCTTTCAGATTGAGTGGCGCAGCTTTTATACAAAGTGACGCAGGCGCAGCTCGTGAAATTAGATTACTGCAAGCAAAGGCTCAAGTAGCGTGAACTTCAAAGCAATACCGCCCGCCCGCCCGATGCATGAATCATCCATGCTAGTATTTAGTTACTTTAATAATCATTACTTAATATGAAATACATTTTTTCTAATATGGTGCTTTATAATAGTAAAATCAATGCAATCTTAGTTTAATTACCTTTTTGCCCGACAATCTTTAGGGAGTATATGATTATACTGTTTCCTTTAAAAATGTATTTACTACTAAGCTTAACATGAATTTTTCAGGCATAGCCTTTTGCAAATTTATTTACTGTAGGTAATTAATCTGACGCGTAATGGAACTTTAGTTACGACTTTTATCATACTTATTCTATATAACTTATTTGAGCCGCCTCGATGAGATGAGATGCCATCAGATGAGCTCTAAGCTCGTCTATGACTTCAATTTTTGAAAAACAAATTAATTATTATAATTAATTTGTTTTGCAAAAATTGAAGTAATATAATTATAAAAAAATATTTTCCCAAAGTCAATTTCCGAAGATAATTTCCCTTTTTTCTTAATATATCTATCAGTTACTAAGAAAGAAAGAACGTTGTATAAGTATTTGGACGTTTCTGAATAGTTCTGCAAAACCGTTGTGTAAAGTTAGTTACGTCATCTCCTGAGGCCATGACACTGTCTGTTGTTCTCTTACGAAGCGACAATGCTAACCAGCGCACCCTCGGCTACAATCAAATGAACATGGCCAAAAGCAAAAAATTATCACTTTCATGAATATACTTCACTTTCATGCATATATGTACTGTATGAAAAGCACTCACTCCAGTAAAGAGCGAGTGTGCTTATACAAAAACAAAATACAGAATGTTATATTTATAATAACTTCACGCCGGTTTAGGGGTGATAGTTAAGTATTTTAACTGGCACGGAAGTGATACAATTCGTGTCCCCACTATTCATTCAACTAAAATACAATACTTTCTAGTAATTTTCAGTCCCCACTATTCATTCAACTAGTTAATTGTCAGTAGGTTAACGTGCAAAGAAATTTTTTTCAATTACGTTCTTTGTATTTCGACTTAGATCTTCAATTTTGGAAGTCGGAGTCACCCTACAGATTAAATTATTTAGAAGTATTTTTATCCAAAAAATATTTGGTCGACTGAGCTAATTTTAAGTGATTGAACTTTGTTAAAAACAAACAATGAATGCAAAATGACAAATAATTAAGCAGAGCTTACAGAAATTCCTATATGCATATAGAACAAGCTATATATTTATGACTATCTCGTTAGTCTAGTTGCTCTCGGGTCGGACTAAAATTAGTTCTTGGGTTTTTCTGTAAATAAATTGTCAGTAGCAACCCAGAGTCACAAATTTGGCGGTATTTCATCCCCGGGCCTCGGAAAGCACGTAAACCAATGCGTTGGTCCTGCACCTGATCACTCTCCGGTCGTGTCGGATTACCGTCCCATCGGACTATGACAGTGAAGGAGTAAAGAGTACATCTGTGCATAAATTCCATCTTCTTATTATATATTCGCCCTAATCCCAAGGAACAAGGAACTAAATGCAAGATGAAAGTACATAACCACTACGTTTTAACTAAATCCATTAGAACAATCGTAGAATCATCTTTTAAATCCAGTCTTACCGACACTATAATCTTGAATTTATCTGCAACTATCTTACAGTCTGTTTACATACGAATAGTTATGTTAGTTTGAAAGTATTATCAACGTTATTATATTGTGCACTTTAGGTAATGTCGTCTTTTGACATCAAATATTAGCAGACAGAATGAAATATGCACTGAAGATCATTTATCAATGCCACAATTTTAATATAAGTTGATTGACATACAAACAGCTTATATTTAAATTTCAACTCAAATGTGTGTAATAAATAAGAATATAGTAAATTATACCTATAGGATAACATTGTAAATTTATAAAATGTATGACACAACTTTTGCGATAGATTAATTAGACTATTAAAATTTCCCTAATAATTTAGTGAAAAGGTTTAGAAATAAACAAATCGATATAAATTTGTATCGATATATTACCGTAGACACGCTTAATTGCCTCGTTATCGTCATTATCATCCATTAGCTGAATTTTACTACTGGAGATAAAAGTGCCTCCCCTGGAGCACGTCGATTTTTGATTTATTTCCTTCTCGCGCCTCTTACAACACCCACGGGATGATATGGGATAGTAGATACCGCCACTAAAAGCTAAGCTTTTGAAATTCCGACGTTGAGAGTAATTTATATTGACGGTTACGCGGGAAAGAATTGTCTGATGTCATAGTTAATTTGCTCAAATAGGAAAAAAAGCTGATTTTTTGATCAAATATCAAAAAGTAATCAGTCAAGAGACGTCAGTTAAACAAAAATGTAAGGATATTAAAGAAGGACCTGAATAAAAATAATAATAGTGAAAATAAAATACATTAGAGGGCATAAAATAAAAAATCCCTTCAAGTAAACTTATAAAATAATAGAAGAAAATGGAAACCATATATATATATATATATATATATATATATATATATATATATATATATTATTTATTAATTAACGTTTTATTATAAGTCATTAAGAATTTTTCTCTAGAGAAACTTAGCAGTGTACTCATTTACGTAAGTAGTAGTATTCATTTTTTTTTAACTTTTTGGTATGGTATGAAAATGAATGTTTCTTTGTGCGTCGTGTATGCTTTTTTATAATATTCATCCTATAAATGTAGAATGGATAATATTATTCCAGATATATTTTAAAAATTAAGAAGGAAAAACGCGCAAACATTCCAACCGACTATCTAATCAAAAATCGTGTATCAAATTTTAAAATCGATTGCAATACCTTTACATACACATTTGAATGGCTAAATACACTTAAGCTAGCAATGACTTGCAGTCATGCAGGGGTGGAATGCATCTGTTAGTCTTCCCTATATAATGTGCCTTCATAAATCCGTTAATGTTTAGACCCGACACCGTTCATCATAATTCTATTTACGTATTTCATTTATCCACGCCATATTGCATTACATTACTGGTCATGACCATGACCTTTCTTGACTTTAACTTTGTTATGTTTTTGTAACAATACATTTTTGCAGTATCGTACTTGGTATATTACTTTTTATGGTGTGCTCTTTTAGTAAAAAGTGAAGCTTAAAGTGGAAAAAGAATAATGCCAGAAAAAAAAATTGGTTGACCCTGCAGGCCATCCCTGGAAATTCCCGTTAATTTCAAATGCAAAGCGCTCAAAATTTCATCAAATTATCGAAGCGATATCTCGAAGGTAGGTCAAAAATTTTTTTTTAAATTCTTTCTCCTTTGATATCTCACGAACGAATGAACCGATTTTTATTTTCCTAACGGCATTTCACGTCATTTTTTGAGATTAACAGCTGGTTAGTTTTTGAAATTGATTGGTGAAACCATTTTTAAACGTTTAAGTAATTCCAAAAAAAAAAAACAGTTTTTCAAAATTTTTGTTTTTGAGATTTCCCAAAATCTACTTGTCCGAATCAGTTCATACTATCACCAAATCCACATTGAGACACACACACACACACACACACACACACACACACACACACACACACACACACACACACACACACACACACACACACATACACACTCACACAAACACACACACACACACAAACACACACACACACACACACGCACACACACACACACACACACACACACACACACACACACACACACGCACGCACGCACGCACGCACGCACGCACGCACGCACGAACGCACGCACGCACGAACATACATACAGATAGCTTCCTGTTGTCTCAAAACGTCGAGATCTGATGAAACTCGATTTTCGAAAAATCGGGATGAAAAAACCAATAACTTCCCTATTTTTGAAAATTTTGAATTTTATTTGCGGGAAGTTAAAATATACATGAATACACACTGACTACTAAAACTATTTCAATGAATAGTAATTTAAATATATTTAGCAGAAGCGACATAAATATGACTTAAATAATGAATTAAACTGTTTATTCTCTGAAATGTAAAGTAAATACTAATATTTAAATTTGGGTAATATTTATTTGGATGAATAAACAGTTACAATAATATATTTACGTGGTAGAGCCATGCTACAGCTATATTTGGTTGCAGCACGAATGGTTCCGCTCGACCGGGGGAGGACCACGCTCTCACAGAATACCAGCGTAAAATAGCAGCTTCATGGCGCTGTTTTTCGTATGGTGAGTGTAGAGAATCGGAGGCCCTTTTTACTGGAAACGAGGCATTCCATCTCGGTTCCAATTTGATTGGCAATTGAATATAAATGTAGATATCTATAGGCCACAGCATCCACTTTCATCAGGAGGACTGTGTGCTCGCTTGTCAACCTTATACTATTAAAAAAATGTAATGGCTCACAGCCTATAACTATACTGGCTCTCTACTCTCTTTAGCTCGGAGCACATTCGGAATGCGTCAGAAATAAGAAAGAGGATAGAACCTACCCAGACGGAATCTTCGCAGAAAAGAGACCTTGTCAACAAGTAGCATTTTTACTCTAGCACCGTTTATCACAATTTAAAAATACAAATATTTTAAAGATATCACAGAGAGATAGTGTTTTCTTTTTAATGTTGCATATCAACTAAAGCACTCGTAGTTATCCTAATGATAATGACAATAGACTAAAAATAATAATACAATTAACTCAAATGCGGAAGGCACTGCTCAACTCTAGGTCGTTTTGCTACTTACCTAGGGGTTTTATTTTGTGTTTTCCATCTTCTGTTACAGTTCCCTCTGTCATCGCTTACGACAGTCACAGTACAATATTGGGGTAGTGGATATTTTT